AAGCCAATGTACTTTGTCTGGTGCTTTTTGAAATCCTGCGCAGCACTAAAATTGTGTTTTAAGTTGGTGACAGCCAGAGGAGCAGGCAGTACATAATGGAAAACATGTGAAAACCCCACTTCTGCACAATTTCTTGAAATTTTGTCAAGTAAGCAAATTTACAGAGCCCCGACAGAAAAATAACCTTAAATGCATACTACCGTAATCCTACATTAACCCTGGTAGAAAAAATAGCCCTCAGTGCATTACAAACCCAGGTAGAAAAAAACTTTTAACGCATTCTACCCTAATCTCACACTAATTGTGGCAGTAAAGCAGTTAGATTAGATGCATCTACCGTAATGCTACAGTAACTCCTGGTAGAAAAGAGTAACCTCGAATGTGCTTGAACAGTAATCTTATGGTAACCCTGGTAGAAAAAGAATAGCCCTAGAACAGTAATATTGAGAGAAAAAGAATAAGCTTAGGTGCCTACCGTAATCCTACAGTAACCCAGTAAAAAGCGGCTTTTATGACAAGAAATTTTTACTGAAGTTATTTTGCTTTTAGGAGATGGCAGAATGCCAATCAGATGAGCTTCAAGCTCGAATGTCAGCTTATGCTAGTGGTGAGATGGATGTAGCGGCCCTTGTTGATGACTCTCATCATAAAGCACGACTACTAGAAGAATGTGAACAACTCAGAAGTAAATTGTCACAGGTGAGGAGGGTCCCACCTGGATCTTGTTTGCGCCGTTCTAATCCGATGCGAATAAGCCCGACGCTTATGATTTAGGCGAATGAGCGCGTACAAGAAGTGGAGGCGAAGTGGATCACTGACAAAGCGGCACTCGATCGTCGATTGTTGGATCTTGTAAGAGAACGGGATCGAATGCAAAAAGAACACGAAGCTCAAGAAGGCACATGGAAGAAAACAATGAGCGAGAAGGATAAGCTAGCCCGGGAGAAACAAGCCCGTCTTGAACAGAAAATTCAAGAATTGGAAGCAATCCAGAAAACCATGCAGGGTAAGTTGAGTCATCCCCGGTATTTATGGATCTTACCATGAGCTACCATGAGTTCTGACCTTCTAGCTGGTCTACAAGTACAGCAACAAGGCAAATCTCC